ACTCCTACCAAATTATCAGGCAGCTGGGTACGATACCACTTCTTTCTCTTCGAATTGTTAATATGCTGAGACAGCATACTTCTATCTGGTGATGGCGTCTCTAAAAAATACCGACCGCGGGGAAGCTACTTTATATCCGATATCTTCAGGTTCCTGTCCAAATGTTGTTTGCACTGTGCAGTCGCAGAATGGGCTGATCCTTCTCATTCTCCGACCTATATGCACGATATATAGGGTGGTGTTTGATCTGTTCTTACTAGACGAGATACATTCAACACATTCGATCTTCAATCCCAGGTGCGCTTACTATGGATTTCCAAGATGTGTTCGGCTACTGGGGTCGAGGAATCATCGAAGATCATGATGATACTCTCCGCAAAGGCATTCCCCCACTCACCGCGACTCCTCATGAAGAGACATTGCAGATACCTGCGCTTCCTAAGCATGGTTATGGCCCGCTGGGCACAGTTGGAATTCTAGGCGCGGGAGTTGGTGGTCTATACACCGCCCTTATCCTAGATTCGCTAAACATCGACTACGAGATCTTAGAGGCGTCGAACCGCACCGGCGGACGCCTCTTCACCTACAACTTCCCGAATGGTGGTAAATACGACTACTACGTATGTCGTTCATTCGATGCTGCTGCACCAAAGATGCTGACCATGTAAACTCTTGGCTTTCCTGCTAACTAGGATGTTGGCGCCATGAGGTTTCCCCTGCCAAAGAAGGACGCTCAAGGCAATTACAAGATTGGCATGATGACGCGCCTGGGCGAGTTGATCAACTACTCGAAGCTTAACAAGGGTTTATCCAAGCCACCTCTAAGCTCCCAACTTATCGATTATCATTTTACGTCAAAGAGACAGGGTCATTTTCTCTACTTCAACAATCAACGTCATCAAGTCTCTCAGACATCGCGCCCTCCTGACTTCCGTGCCCGAGAAATGGGTGTGGATTCTCAGTACATCGCCGCGGGAGTTGAGAATATTGTCCAGGACGTCATTCGGCCGTTCGCTAAGGACCTCATTAAAGACTGGAGCAAAATGACCGTTCGGGCTGGCACAACATAATGAAGCACAATGCATACTCACTTCGCTTATTCATGTCACTCGAGTACACTCCCAGCGCCAGCCTCCAAATTCCGCGCACGCATCTTTCCGCCAACGTTATCCATTGGTGTGAGACATTCGATGACAGCACGGGCGCGTATGACCGCGGTTTAACTGAAGCGGTTTTTCAGGCGCTGGCATAGCCAGTGTCGAGTCGCAGACCCTTGGAGGCGTAGAATGGAAGTGTTTTGAGTAAGCGCACCTGTCTTGGAACTCATGTAGTCTCACACATACCATCACCGTACCCAGAGGCGGTTCTCAAGTGCTCACCGACTACATGGCGGCATATCTTACTGCTAATGGCACCAAGCCTGTCATCCAGTTCAATAAGAAGGTCACGAGCATCCTTCAGAGTGGAGACATTGCAATGAATGTTTCTGTGAGGGGCGAGTGTAGCCCGCGCACATATTCACACGTTATATCGACTATTCCTCTGCCGGGCCTACGGATGATTGAACTCGGACGTGCTGGTTTAAATGTGATGCAGAAAAATGCATTGCGTAAAGTGCAGTACGCTCCTTCAATAAAGGTTGCCATGCGCTTTCGATCAGCGTGGTGGACCGAACTTTTCGATATCATAGGGGGCAAATCATCCACTGACCTTCCCATCCGAACTATCATGTACCCTTCTCACGGGGCTGAATCTAGCACACCGTCCACAGTGCTGATTGCGAGCTACTGTTTGACAGATGATGCAGAACGCTTGAGAGCGCTCATCAACACCGGTAAGATAGAGTATGAGGAGCAATTGAAGGAACTCGTGTTGCGCAATCTCGCGGAAGTACACAATGTGGATTATAGTTTCTTGTTGGATCAGTATGTAGACATGCATGCATGGGACTGGAGCGACGACCCGTTCGTCATGGGCAAGTCTTTGAATATTGACGTGAGCCAATCGATTCTCACTCTCCTCCGTTACAGGTGGCTTTGCGTTCTTTGGGCCCGGAGATTTTCAAGATTTATACACGTCTCTCACCGTACCCAATGCTAACAAGAGGCTCCATTTCGCTGGAGAGGCCATCAGCGTTCGTCATTCGTGAGTGAAAAGCCGTTGAGTCGTTTTGATGATTACAACTTAAGGCTCGTAATGTAACCTGCAGATGGGTCGTTGGCGCATTGGACAGCGCATGGCGCGCAGTGTATGAATACCTGCTCACGTCCGGACAACATGAGAAGATTCAAAGATTCTTCGACCTGTGGGGCCAGAACGTCGAGTGGGCGGGCCAATCTAAACATGGAAAACATGATCCAGCTGATCCGGACACTATGTTACGAGTTCACATGGGATACACATATGCTGGTGAACTCACTGGGGAGGTGAAGTTTTAAATAAGTAGCAGTGAGGTCGGTAACATTGTCTGAATCTGTAACATTACTCGCCTTGTAACATCATTGATGATTAGCTCCTCAGAATTGGTACATGTTGCATCTGTCAAGTGCTAGTTATGCTACCAGAACCTACTAAATAAAATGAAGATAGCTGTCCCTTAGGTACAGCATCTGCTGGCGTGAATACTATACTAAGTGTACAGTCATTGTGATCTTGATCGCGTAGTAACTGCATCCAACTGCACTGGTGTGGTTGTCGATGTATAATATTGGCTTTTATCTTTGAATTCTCACTGGAGATCTAAAGAGGGTGACAAAGATGATGAGATAAAAAGGGAAGGACTTGAGCTGAGACGTAGCAATCTATAGCGAGCTTTGCAATAAAATTTTCAAGCTGGCGCTACATCTGAAGATCTGGTAATTTGGCTATCAAGCGTATCGGGTAGTGATGCCGCAGTCCGGTTCTGAACTTCGGTTCGGACCTGAACCCTCCCGGACCGGACCGTGGGTTCGGTCCTAGGTTCAAAATAGTATAAGGACCGAACCGATTATCAAGTTCAGCGTTCGGCTGCTGCCCGAATACTGTGAACCCGTTCGAACCCGTCCGAACGTGTTCTCATATTCTTTGCATGATCCACCAATATATCTGCTCTGATCTTCTGGCAACTGGCATGTCGATCGATCTCGGGACAATCAACAGCGGATCGGACTTCGCAGCCAAAACACCCAACACATTTCCATTGGCGAGATCTGACTTCCCTGGTAATCTACTCGATGTTCTGGTAAGCCTAATGTTAAACAAATGTTAATCTTTATTCAGACTTCAATGGACTTTATTTTCAGAACATATTCTCAGGTTTCTCATTCTGGTACTTCAAGCTTCAACACCAAGTAATTGCATGGCAACAGGATGTTCAAGGTGCGTCATTTTTTTGATCTCTTATCATAAAATTTGGAATAAATGAGCTACTTACTACAGGTTCAATCTTCACCCTCCTTGCTGCACAAATGTTGTGCGCACTTGGATCTGACGGCCAACTCAAGGATGCTAGTGCCATCAATTGGTACAATGATCCTGACGATGACACGCCCATGCTTCCTCCACCTCTGCCTCCTGCATCCAATGGCAAGCTAACTGCCTTTGTGTCTCGCTCAGGCCGAGCTGTTAAACCGACAGAAAAAATCCGCGATGCTGGCAACACGGCTCCAGCCAAACGAGTGGCTCCAGCGCCTCCCCAAGGACAGCCTGCACCCAAGCGAGTGCAACATGGGTCCCGTCTGGTCCGTCACCATGATGACGATGACGACGAACCCCCTGCGCTAGAGGATTGTTAAGATGATGAAGAAGAGGCCGAAGACAATGACAAAGAGGAAGCTTACGAGCGGACCAAGGTATTTGGAGACAAGGACCGTGAGGATCGCAAGCATAAGAAGAAAGAGGAAGCACAGTGGGGATTTGAAGGTAGTATTTACTCAGGAGAAGGGACACATCAATCCGCACACCCAAGAACCCGAAGATGGCTGGTGGTGCGAGATATGCAGGTATGTTTTTACTTTTACTTTGAACGTCACACACATAACTAACTTTGTCAATTCAAGAGCCAATGATGTACCCACCAATCAGTGCTTTTTCAAAGGCAGTGTTTCGACTCGCCGCACCCATATCGCTTGAAATGCGAAGTGTCACTTTCCAATATACCGCAACCGCTGCAAAGAACGAGGTATCAAGATGCATGATCGGGCGATACCTCCTAACTGCAAAGCAACCAACGACTTGCAGAAAACGTTAGATGCCTCCCTCATGCCTAAAATTCCTGAATTCACCAAGACCGGGTCTAATGGATTACATTGTTGAACTTATCGTGTCTGAGGACGAGGTGAGTTTTTTTTTTGTAATCGTGACTTAGGATGTTCATGCCATAGATAGGCATTCCAACTCGTTGACAAGGGACCCTTTCGCCGGCTCCTTCAATACCTCCGGCCTTCCCTTTCAGACAGGGATATTCCTCACCGCACCAAGACTCGAGATGAAATTCTTGAACAGGCGCAGCTTGCCGTTCAACGTGTCAAGGAGAAACTTAAGCAAGTTGATAGCAAGATTTCGATCACGTTCGACTCATGGACCTCCGAACCTGGGGTACCTTTTCTCTCCGTCACCGCGCATTATATTGACTCCCCAGCTGGGAAACCTCATGAGTGGGAGTTGAAGACAGAGCAGCTTGCATTCACCATCATCAACGGCAATCACAGTGGGAGCAACATTGGAAGGATCCTGATTGAAACTATCAATAACTATGGCATCCGCACTAAGGTTGGATGGTTTACAGCTGACAATGCTACCAACAACGACACAGCAATTCAGACTGTTGCACTTGCTATTGACCCTTCCGGCAAGAAATGGATTGCTGGGGAACACCGTGTGCGGTAAGTGAACTATTTAATATCGTGATTTATATATATTGATGTCTACTATTCAGCTGTATGGAGCACGCCTTGCACTTAGCTGCGAAACACTTTGTTGAGGAGGTCGCACCCACACCAGCAAGCGTGCTCCTCAAGAACATGGCCGATGAAGATGATGATGATGAAACAACTGATTTTGAGGTTGCTGACACCGCAGGAAAAGCCCTCGCACTTGTTACACAGATTCGGAAATCTCCCCAAGCACGCACTTTTTTTCAACAGTGTTGTGTCGAGGTCAATGAGCTGAAGCTTGAGCTTTTGAAATGGATTCGCACGCGATGGGCCTCACTCTTTGGTATGTTGGAGCACACCTTTAAGCTACGCAAAGTAAGTTGGTTTCTATTACTGTGCCTATGCCCAATACTAACTCAATTTGATCTGCCGCAGGGGGTGAATAGATTCATACAACTGGCGGATGACAGTGACGAAGTCCCAAACTTGCAGGGCAAGTCATATGGAGCATTCAAGCTTTCAGCCGAAGAATGGAAGAAGTTGGAATTGATGCACGATGTGCTTCAGGTATGTGCGAGTGTCCAGTCAAGTCTCAAATGTTGTATTAACCTACTGTATAACCAGGAACCTGCCAATGCACAACAATCGTTTTCGGCAACTCGTGAACCTACTGTATGGCGCGCAATTCCAGTCCTCGAGTATCTCCAACAAACTTGGCAAAACATGGCTGGTTCTTCGAAGTTTGACGACTTTTCATCTGCAATCAACTCTGGCCTCGACAATATTCGCAAATGGTACCACAAGATTGACGAAACTGATGTTTATTTTGTTTGCCTCGGTATGTGTTTTATTTACTATGATGCCCTATCTAATGTACAATGTAGTGCTTGATCCTAACTATAAGGTGGCATATGCGAAGGGTAAATGGGAGCCTCACGACTTTGACGAGGGCATGAGAAGCTTGCGGAAGGTTTTTGACAAATATTATCATCACAACTCCTCGCCCGCTGCTGCAGAGCCATCTATTGCAGCTCCTGCCTCGCTTGCTCGCCATGGGTCATACGGCCATAGCTGGATGTGCGATGCTGTCAAAACTCGTGTCGCAAATGACACCGCAAATCGAAGACCTCGCCAGGAGCTTGACGACTACCTTGCTGCCCCATTAGAGGATGTTGAGAATATAGTGGCGTGGTGGGGCATGAGTTTTTTCGCATCGCATTTCCTTGCAAGTTGACTCAATATGCCTTTAGCACCATTCCATTCAATATCCCACCATCTCACGCATTGCAAAGGATTACCCTCGCTATTCGAGGCTCTGCCGTTGCATCTGAACGAGCCTTTTCGAGTGGCGGCATCACTGGGACTGCACGCCGTAATTGTTTGTTGCCAACAACATTCGAGGCCCTTCAGCTATTGAAGAGTGGGCACCGTCAAGGCCACATTTCTGCAACGGTTCAAGCTGAGTTTGCTGCTGCTCATGAACACTATGCCATGGACGAAATTTAGCTACTCATTTACGGTTCATGTATTTCTTGCAATTTTTGTCAAATTATATGTAGCGTTCGAGCGTTCGAACGCGTTCTGAACTGAACCGAACGCTTGTGAACGCGTTCATAAGGGTCCGGTCCAGCGTTCGCCCTCCTTGCCTGAACGCGACCGATGGTCCAGTTCGGCGTTCGCATTTAGAGGCCTAAGAACCGAACCGAACCGGACTTCGGCACCACTAGTATCGGGACACATCTCCTGCGACTAATAGTATTCTATGCCGCATGTCCTTAGATCTGTTATCATCACAAGAAACTGTTCAAACGTGCTGTATCAAACTCATCTAATAACACAATCAACGTGGTTTGTAAATGTGACCAAGCCAGCAGAAACATTGGGTTAGTGACACGATTTGCAAAATGCACAACTCTTGGCTCGAGTCAAATTGAAGGAACCAGGGTCATAAGCCTGTTCCCATTCGCGAGCCACCACTTTTCTGCCTCCTCATCCGCATCGTATCCAAATTGGATATCGCTCTTCGTCTTATCAGCCCACTGGTTCGCATTTCCTGCTAGCACAAGAGTGCTCTGCTCGCCGCGCGCAACACGCAACGCATCCTCCATGGCCGCGCGCATGTCACGGTCACGATTCTCTTGATCTGGCCCGTCGGGTTTGTGAAATATGTGCCGGTTTAGACTTGAGGACTTCTGTGTCGCGGTGGCACGATCGTACCGGATAGATTGGTAGGCATAGAGGAGAGACGAGATCTGCGAGCGGTCCGAGCAATGCGAGAATATGTTGCCTAAGACAGCAGCATCTTCAATCTAGAGAATTCTGATTTCAGCACGCGTTTTATTGTCGACAATCCTCCTTACGGCCATGGCTAACCCTTGCGCACGGTACGGCTAGGGAGATATAAGACTTAGTATGTGCTATTTTGATCGAGAATTCACACAAACCAGCATTGGATGGCATGAGTCGCCCAACAAGGCCAACTTGCCATCCTTGTGAATCCACGAGGGCAGTGGGTCTCGGTCCATCAACTTCCAATCGAGCGTTGATGGAACAAGCGCCAGAAGCTTTTGAACACTGTGTCCCGCGCCACCAGTTAGCATGACCATACAGTGGGGATTAAAACGGAGCCACTAACGTGGGACTCCATCGTTTGTAGTTCTCCCTCATTTTGTCCACGTTACCTTCAGCAGTCCATGATTCCACGCCCCCTTCAGCATCATCAGGGTGCACCATAACAAGGTTAAATTCTTTCTTGGCACGCTGTCCAGCTCTCGCATTAGTTCCCGACGTTAACCATGTTAGCCGAACGGCCGGCTTACAATAGTATAGCCGACGATGTGACCTCCGGGGCCCATCCATATATTCGATTCCATTTTCTCCACCAATGGTTTCAGCTCATCATCCTCTAGGAGTTTCTCAGCTGGGATGAGTGCTCTGTAAGCAGCATCTCCAGTAGCTCTTGGTTTATCGGGTCCGCCGACAACATACTCCCGAGTAACACTTTTCACTCCGTCGGCGCCAATGATTAGGTCAGCAGATACGACCTCCCCAGAAGCAAGAGTCACACTGGGTTTCGATGGGTCCACGGATACGACGCGACTATTAACTCGGATGTTACAGTATGGCTCAGTGGCTTCGTAGAGCATATGATGGAAATCAGCTCGCTGTTTCAGCCTCGTCAGAAAGAATAGATGCAATAAGGAGAGGACTAACGTGTAATAGGTAGAAAGGAGCACCGTATTCCTTCTCGACCACATCCCCAAGTGGCGTCCACCCTATGACCTCATCGTTGCTCCCTGGAGATTGGCATCAAGCAAGAGCGCCAGAACACTTCAACGTAACTCACATCGTTTAAGACTCATAGCCTGAATCTTGACGCCAAATTCCTCAAGATACGGGCCGAGACCCCAACGCATCAAGAGGCGCGAGACGTTGGGACTGGACTGAACGCCAGCGCCTGCCTCACCGATGGCTGACGCTGCTTCGAGGATGGTGATGTTGTGGCCTGCTTGTGCGAGGCAGTATGCAGCGGCGAGACCTCCCAGACCGCATCCTATGACTACGATGTTGAGGGGCAGTGAAGCTCGTCTTCCTTTGTATAGATGGTCCGGCTGATGGGTCGAACCAGCCTGAGACATTCAGAAGGTCAGTACATAGCTTCGCTTTGATGGCCCCACATCACTACTAACTGTTTTAGGTTCCTGTGCGTTCATCATATCAATCAAGGAGCAGGACTTGGTAATGATGGAGTGGTGACGATAGAGGGGGATGAGAGTGTGTAATCATTGATGTGGGTGGACTATTAATATAGGGTGCTAAGGAGAACGAGAATGGACCTTATGTCGTCATATCAATCCAATCATCAGGAGTTTCGCGCCCGTCTTCGGCGCTGGCTAGTCATGTTGCTTCCCTCGTGGGTTCTGTCTCGTGGATTGGAAGCAGGAGCGCTCTCTTACTTGAAAATGGCAGCACAGGTCCTTGGGATCAGAGGGTAAAACGAATTATCCTTTCGCAGTTACTGGCCAAGATTTCCTTCCGGGCGGCCGCTCCCGTAAAGATGCATCACTGAAAGCGCCTTGATAGTTAGGGCTTTGTCTGTGTCTAAATGAGGTGTTACACGACACACTCCAATAGTATGTCATGTGGACGCACATCATGTTATTAAGATCTTCCAACTCTCAGGCATAGAAGCGACTGCAGAGGGCCCGGGAGGCTTTAATTCAAAGCCAGAATGCTTGCAAAGATAATGATGATAGGGGTGGGTGAGACAAGACGATTGCAGTACGGTCGCCGGACTGTTGGTATTCAATTAGTAAATCATACTCGACAAAGGTAATGCAAGGGGTACTGCAAGGAAGAATGAATTACCGCAGTAAGTTTTTAAAAACGGGAGATTCCCCGTGGCCGAGGAGCAGCGAAGGCAAAATATCGAATCTACGGTCGACTATGAATGGGCTTATGGAAGGATAAACCATAGCTCGTATATTAAGTTCTGAATGATGACAAGCGTGTATACCGTGAGTATGTATGGCTCATGAGGTAGAATATGAACTGTGCCATTGTCACGGCTGCCATGCTTCGGCCTCCGGGCAACCTAGGAGATACGATCACGGGTTGGAATGAGTTGCTCAAGAGGTCAGCGCACCTATCCTGGTTTGGGGACTCCTGGAAAATACCATGCTCGACGGGTAGACCATCGGATGTACGGAGATAGATCATGTTAAATCTGGATGCTCGAAAAACTTAAACATAGATGACCGTGAACAGCTTGCAGACGAGACTGTGAATCTCTTTCCCTGTAGGTTTCTGCTGATAGTACCGGATCCAGAAGCTTGTTAGTGCTATGTAGTCTGCCACACCTTTCAAGTCATAAACCTTGAATCTCATCATTAATTGGATGAGTTTATTCTTCCAGATGTAGGGTGTGCAGTAGAGATACCTGCAAGAAGTGACAACTTTCTTCCTTCTGTAACGGTCTGCCAAGGGAGAGACTACCTTTATATGACCCACGTGAAGCAAATAACCTGCACCGATGGGCCACCCTGCCGGGCCCCATGAGAACGCGGATGCCTGATCGCAGTCTCCTGCAGATGTCGCCCAAGAAGAGCCAAGAAGTCATTTTCGACGTCGAGTGTCTGCAAACCCAATGCTATCGATCGACTCGGATTCCTTTCTCAATGCTGGGCCCGTGAATCAGCCGTTCTTTTCCAAATTCCCACTACCAGAAGCGTTTTATCGAGTCACGATACGGGTACTTGAGCTAAAGTTTCGTGCCCATATGTCAAGACTCAAGGTTATATGGAAATAAGGCAGACGACAAGCAAATCTACCAAACATCACATGATTAGTGACCGTGCTGTGACATCACAAATGTCAGATACCTGATAGGCTGATACCTGCAGTCTATTACATAGCGAGGCACGAGCGGAGGAAATAGAGCTAAGTCAACGTGACCCCCGTGCACTTCGTCGTTTCTTTTTCCCACCCTCCTGCCCCTCTTTCGTCCTGGACTCCTGCGTCAGCACGATTCAGCGCCTCGCTAAATACCTAAATCACAATCCTAAAACTCTCACACGGGCCCTGAAGGGGCCAAGACTCAGCGAGGTGACCCGCCCGCCCGCGTAGCTCACTTATCTTCCTTTACTAGGCGGCTAAGTCCCTTCGCCCGAAAACCTTTCTAGTCCTCTCACCTAGGGTGTGACATGGGTGAGGGCCACCCGGGTACCCGCCCGGGTGTCACCCGCGGATGGAACGTGGGGCGGGTGGTACGGGTGGCGGGTGGCGCGGGTGGCTCACCCGCGCGGGTACGGGTGAGAGCATTTGCTAAAGTCGGGTACCCGCAGGTACCCGCGGGTGGTCTAGTACCCCAACGAGAAATGATTGACGGCCGAATGCCCTGAACCAGACTCGTCAAAATCAAGCTCGATGAGGTAAGTACCAAGTGACAGACCTCATAAACTAGTTTCAGATGAATATTGTACCCTGAACTAGACTCACTACTACTACTTGCACTTATCCGATGTCAAAATGAAGCACGATGAGGTACTATGAACGTGGTATGAACGTTCTGAACCGGTACTAAGCAGTGCTGTATGACGAACTAGTTTCAGATGGATATTGGTCATTATCAGAGCCTGTCAACATGCCGCCAACTGACATCATCTATTCCAGATATTTAAATTCGATGTGTGCTACACAGCTAGTTGTCATCCTCTCTCGTCGCCAGTTACCCTCTATCCTCCATGCCGGAGAGCAGTTTCAACTCAGCTTCGGACGTGTCTTTGGCATCCAAGTCGCCAGCAACAAATACACGCAGTCGCAAAAGACCGGCGGCGTCTCCGATTCCTGTTCTAGAGTCTCCAAAAAAGAAACGGCGCGCCAAAGCAGAGCTGTCCGACATAGCAATCTGGAGCAATACTGATGACGAGATTATAAGTGAGTGTCTCTCTTATTTAATTGTACGATGTAACATAGTTACATGTCACACAGCCTGAGTGATGAAGAGGACGGAGAAGATAATTTCACCTGCCCAGACTCCATTGAAGCCTACCTTGATTCCC